ATATCTGGTCCCGTTTCACTTTGATTACCGTGTCAAACAAGTCAGCCTTCGCCCCTGATAAGAGGAAATAAAACAATAAGATGCGTCGCTGGTATTTGTTGCTATATATAAGAGTTAGGGTTAGAAGAAGTACAGGGCAGAAACGTTCCTAATCCCGCTAACTACTGCAGTCTAAGAAGCTTTCGATTCCGTTTCTGTTTCATGAGGTGAAGCAGGTGTTCTCATGTTCCCGTCCATATCAGGTGTCATTCTCACTTCCATCAATATCTAGTAAACAGGGATTATGTAGTTCGTTCGTTTCTTCACATAGACAAGACAATCTCTTCCCAGCCTAACAACTTGGTGAAGAAAGCACGCGATCACATAAAGCGAAACGCGGTTCAAATGGGATAGAATAGCTTTACACTAAGATTGTAACTCAATCGGCAGACTAGCAAGGGTAAACGGGTACCACAGTAGTGAAAACTAAGTTAATAAACTATTTTATCGCTCAGTTTCCTGTCCCTAGCAATGTTTCTGCAGGTGGTTTTTTTTTTGGGGGGGGGGGGGGGGGGGGGGTGTCATTCTTAAAATTACAAATTATCAGTGTAAAACCATTTTGTTTTGTCTGCTGCTAAGGGTAGCCGTAACTGTAAAAAGGGGCACAAGTATATTTTTACTCTGTAATATACCAGAAAAGTTGTAACTGTCACTACACTCAAACATTTCGACAACCCCAAAAATCTACTTCACAAAGTGAAAGACAGCATAAGACCACCCGAGGGTCCAATCGAAACCCTAACTTTAAAAATAAATATAAAACTTTAAAAACATAAGGTACCCGTACGCCCCACTCATATGTGTCTTCATTTTTCCATAATCTACCAATCTAGAGGTAATTCCCTTACACAGTTTGATGTAAAAGAATGTTTGCAAAGAGATCAGAAAATCGTAAAGCATGAAGGCATCAAAGCCCAACATGTTTTTATATGTGGGCATATCACTTTCAACTCGTAAGTATCTTTCACTTTATATTTCACTTTATTACATTAATAAAAGCATAACATTCGAATACACAGGTAATAAAATAAATGCATTTGACAAAGCACATCAAGGGTGCTACAAAATACTAAATCTCCCTATTTGAAATTAATACTCCATGCAGATACAGAAACCTTTGTGGGGTAATTTAGAAGAATTTATGAACTTGGAGAGTTTCAATAACTTAGCTCTTTTCAGAGGAGTCAACGTACATTGAAATATTTAATACCCTCAATCAACGCAACGGCTTTGGATAACATAATATATTGAAGTGATGTTTCTTTTCCTGGGATCTTTTAATGGAAGCGAGTCTGTATCCCTGCGCAACCTTGCGAAACGGAACCAGACAACCGCCGACAGACAGAAAAAGCTCAGTATATATGTGTTTATATTTAAACCAAGAGAAATGAACACTTCTGTTATGTTAACAAAGAACAACCGGCAAATGTCCGCGAACTGCTCTTAAAAACAAATTCAATGAGCTTTACTTTTCCAATCTTTAACGCTGTCGTTGTATGGCCGCACCCTTGGTGTATGTAAAATGTGAGAGCGTGAATGAACGTAGGGCAGGTCCAAATCATTAATGTCCACATAAACCTATCTCCATGACTCATAACAAAGGCCTTTATGTCCGCAGATACCGACATAAATTGCTATTCCACAAACGAGTAACACGACACCACTGTCGCCGAAACTGTCGCTACTGGCGCTTCCGCCTTTTTTCAGGTGACCCAAAGTCACATGGTCTGGGGTGTTGAGTGAATACAAAGTATTCAGATTTAAAAAGAGGGCAGCTCTTTCATGACTATCTTTTAACGGGACGGCAAGAAAAACGAAGACATGTGCGAAGAAAGGTAGATCTAGTGGTTTATTTTCAGAGAGCATTCTTCCCACTCTCCCGTGTGACTTAGACCAGTAAACAGATGTATTATTATCAAGTGATGGTTATGAAACAGTTACACCGCTTGCCCCCCTCCTCCTCAGCTCCCTGCCTATAAAATATCTCGGGTGATATCATATTTGAATAGACCCTATTCCCCATCTTATTTGCTAGCTAAAAAATTAGTAATTAAATAAATGCCTTTAGATCTAGTATGTGTTTATTACAAGCAGTTGGTAATTGAAATGCAAATCGTGCTGAATTTTTTTTTACCTTTCTGTTCATTGATTCTGCAATTACGTATATTTTAACGACTTGGAAACCATGAAAAGAAACAAAACCTTTAAATGGGCAACAAACCAGGATATAGTTCTTTCAATAAACACCTTCAGGCCAGAGTTTGAAAAAACCTTTGCAAAAAGTCGCATTCTCAAATACATAGATTGGGAGAGAGAGACATACTGACTGGACGAGGAAAAAGGAGAGAGAGAGAGAGAGAGAGAGAGAGAA